AAAAAAAAAAAAAAACCAACCACATGCTGGGAAGATTTACATGAAATACAATGTGAAAATGTCTGACTCATCTTCTCTTGATGGAGAGAAGCGGCACTTCTAAAAGTTCCTTGCACTTTGGCAAGGAACAAACTAATGTTCAGTTACACATTTATACAGTAAATATCTTGAAAAACAGCTACTAAAGGAAAATTTGTAAGTTAAGGTTAAAATAGTATTTTATAGATAGCCAGGGGGGTACAGTAGCAGGGGGGAAGAAGACTGTAAAACTGGTGGAAAATTGGCCAGTTCCTTCCGAGGAATAAAGAGAACTAAATCAAGACCCTTCTCATTTGCTCAGTCTTTGGAGAGTAATCAGATTCTGGAAGTTTAGATTGATGAGCAGGATGGCGCTGGAGTTCTGTTTTATGCTGAGGTCCTTCCCTGGGAGTGCCCTTTGCTGTTTTGCCTGTGAGGCTTGCTACCATTGGACAGTCCGCCCTCTTCTAACACTCCTACTCATGAGCTTGGTGTTCCGCCAGCTGCAGGTCTGCCCATTTTGATTGAACATACTGTGCTGCTGGAAACTTTTCACTGCACTGAAACACAAGCTGCAATCACACACTAGTGAGCCATTTCTGACCCCAGGGGAGGCCATCTGCACCTCAGGGGATGAGGCTGGGCTGAGTGCTTCCCTATGCAGACCACTCAAAAGCAATGTGTGAGATATGACAGCACTGTTCTGACACTCAGAAGCCCACACAAGAACCAAATGAATGAAGATTAAAGTACCACTCTCCAAAAATCGTTAGCTGAGCCTAGTATCTACTGAGGCTTTGGTGTTCTGAGCTCCCTTAACTCCAACAGAACTAAAATGACTATGTATTACAGTCAACCAAAGAACTATCTATAGTCAAATATTCTTCCAAATATGGTAATCTGTCTAAATCTGAAAGTAAAAAGTGCTTCCCTCTCTCCAAGAGTCACTGACAAGCTTTAGACAGGCAAGTCTGAATTCCTAATTATATAATACGCTCATTCCAGCTTAAAAGATGGAACAGTAATCACTTTATTTTAGTTTGAACCAAAGATTTGGTTTAATAAGAAGTACAGGCAACTGGCACTTGTTAGAATGTATCTATTTTTACAAAACGTTCATTACAAACTTTTATGAATTGTCAACAGTGTCTGTGCCAAGTCCTGCAAGGCTGCAATGAAATATGAGATTGTCTTTACCCTACTCTGTACACTCACATTAGAAAAGATGAAACTATAAAAATTATGTTCTGATGTGTATATTCTCAACAAAACAAGTAACAAAAATAAACAAATGAATGATAAAAAAAAAAGTATCTTGGAAGGGTCTTGTCAATTTGAAAATGAACTGTGAGAAGGTATCAGGAGTGGAAAAGAACAGGTCAACAGACCGTCACAGAAGAGTAAATCGGAAGCCACTTTCGATTCCGCTTCCTGCACATCAACTTCGCCTTGACAGGTTTTGCATGGATCACAAGCTCTAGCTGGTGCATGTAACAGGACACCCTGAGAGAATCAGGAAGCTACTGGGACAAACAAAGCAGAGGTCTGTGTTTACGGTCCTCCCTAATAATGTATGCAAAATCTCCTCCAGGTGCTGGCACGCATCGAAGACTCATTTCTCCAGTACAAGATACCACATACAACTGTACATCCTACCACATGGCGTTGGTATGAAAAACTGTATCTGGGTATTCTCTATGCTTGAAGTAGCATTTTCACAGTCTTGTCAAATTACTGGGTGTTTAACAGAATTTGATTTGGTTTTAATATCAAGTTCAAGCAAAATTTCTTTCAGTGTCAACCTAAAAGGTTCTCTAATGAGAACGTTTTTCTCATTGTCTGTCTTCTTTTCTCACATGAAAATGGAAAATGCCCACCCTGACTGTAACTGGGAGAATTGAGGGACCTGTGGATGACACCCCTCACGATGGCACTGAGGGGACATTACCTGTCACTCAAGACGACTCCCTCGGCTTCGGGTGGGGCGATGGAGAGCTGGAATGGAGTGTTGAAGTAATGCTGCTGCTCGTCTGACCGGTGTACAACCTCGCCGCCCCGGACGACCAGGAAGCCCGAGTCACCCAGGTTTGCTGTGTGTAAGCGGTGGCTAGTTCTGTCTAGCACCACGATGCAGGCAGTGCTACTCCCTGAAAACACAAATGATTCCCATCAAGTTTCTCTTCCTCGGCTGCCTCTGCATACATACTTCTACTACGTAGCCCCAAAGAGCAACACGCCATTATTTCAATCTCCTCTGTCTAAACAGATCATTTCTAAGTTTTGCTCCATAATCCTATGAAGATCATGAGTAACCTGATCAGGGTCATCAAGGTGGGGTAAGAAAAAGGAGTTTATATTATACACAACAAGTAGGCCACTGATGATGTGAATTCTTCCATTTAAGTGATAGAAAATAATAAAAATGGCTGCTATTTCACCACACTATTTCTTTTCATTAGTGCAATTATCTATGCCAAAAACTCAAAAGCTCTGCATGTTGTTGAGATATAAAGTTTAATATTTAAACGCCAGCATGAGAATGTTACATTTTCATGACATTTCTCATTAGTCATTTGCAGGAAGCCTTCTCCATGAAATTCACTAACATTTAAGACAGGGCATATAACTAAAATTTTAAGCTGGATTTCCAATCTGTTGAGGCTATTGGAGAACTTTTATTGAAGACTAATGAATGACTCACTAGGAAATAATAAGACTAATTGTCCCAGGTAGCTTGGGAAATCAACCTGTTCACTTTACAGGCACTTCTGTTGTTCACAGGGTGGGGAGCAAAATACCTTTGTGCACCTTTGCTGTGCATGGTGCACATGACCTTTCCCAGATAGAAAGCCTGATGACAGGAGTACAGATCACATTAAGTAATAACACTTAAACCTATACCTACAAAAAAATAGGCAGTTCACCAAGAAATAAATGATCATCTCACTAGGAACTATTTTTGCCTATCAGTTTAACAAGAAGTTGAAAGAAGATGATGCTGGGGCTGGCAAAAGTGTAGGGAAACAACACTCCCTCTCATTCCGTGGTGGTGAGAGTCCAATTAAACAATCTCTCTGAAAGGCAACACAGCCCTGGAAAATGTGCAAAAGTATTGATCTAATAATTCAACTTGTGAGAATTATTCTGAGAAAATAAGTGGAGATGCAAACAAGACTTAAAATTTAAGATCAGTTTGGGTGAAGAGAAGGGCAATGTACCAAATGTGAGTGATCGATATAGTGGCACTGAGGAACTGAAAGACATAGAGAGGTACGTGGGAGGTACAGACAACAAAGATGAACCCTTTTGCACATATAGTACAGCATTGTCAGTGAAGGCAAACGTGTATACAGGTGGATAGATGGGTGGACAGGCTGAACTAGTAGGTACGTCTATGAAGTGGGGAGTGTACCCAAGAATATGTATAGGGTTGGCAGACAATGGTCCTATATAAGTTTATGTGTATGACCTGAATTCCCAGGTATATAGTAAAGCTGACAAGGGGCAAGGCTGTAGTCACTGCTTGGTCTAAGCCAGCTACCCAGAGGAACCAAGTAGTTGAACCTGTGGGCTCGGGATCATAGTCGCAGGGGACATCAAGCTCAATTGGCATAACATACTACACAAAACATTGTTCCACCTCCTACTTTGGCAAGTAGCAACTGAGATCTTAAAAGCTTGCAAGCTGCCATCTGGATGCAATGATGGATCTTCTCCTTGTCCAGAGCAAAGAATGAAGAAAACCAAATATTCATGGAAACAATTAGTCCTAGCGACTGGTACACCATTCGATTTGCAGCCTATACAACTATGAGACCAGAAGAATTAGATGGTGCCTGGCTACTACTGTCAACCACTTAGAAGGGGATCTATGTAGGAGATCCTGGATAGAGAGGGAGAACAAGGGAGAACAAACTCAAAATCATTTGGAGAAAAAAAAAAGGGGGGTGGACAGGTTTCCTGGTCTGATAGAGCCTGGTGGAATCACTAAGACTATGGTCCATAACTGCCCTTCAGGTCTGGAATTGAATCCACGTCTGTGGCTCCCTTTTTAGTGATCTCTTGCTTTCTTCATGGATAATGTTCTAAAAAGACAAGAAAAGAAGAGAAGACCAAAGT